AAAAAAACAAAAACTTAGGTAGCACTACCTTCAGGTACACATACTTCTTAATTCACCAGCAGACTTAGACATACAGATATCCCTGAGAGAATTTTGTTTCTGCTGGTTCTCATTCAAATGAGAGAAAGTTGGTGAGCTCTTTCTCCACACTCATTAGTATTGCTTGAGGCAACCAATTGGTACTTGTGATACTAGATTTTGAAGTCCTACTCCAGAAGAACCTACTGGTTTACAAATGCCAAATGCAGATGGGAAAGTTTGCTGTGGAAGCAGCTTGATTCTGTCGTTACCTGCAACAAGATTACCTGTCTTTCTGATACAAACTCTCAAGCAGATGGTTTATTTCAATTTAATAACTTTATTGGCAATGAAAAAAATGCAAAGAGCTGCCAAAAGCAATGCATTGAGTAGCTGTGTTTAGAAACAGGTGTTATGCCACATGTCTTAACTTCTAAGGAAAGGAGAGGAAAAAGAACTGAGTTTTAATTTCTCAGTTCAGGTAAGACTCTTGGGGGTGGGGGAGTGTTTTTCAAATAGAACAGAGTTGAGAGAACTTTTATTGATACAAATATTTATTGACTGTGTTTCTTATTAATGCTGGATTTATTGTGTGCTTACTATGTGTCAGGCTAAATACTTTACAAAGCTCAGTGATATTCTGGGCCACAGCACCAGCTTACCCAGGACCTTGATAAATATGCAGGTTACCAGGGCCAAGCTAGAGTTGCCGATTCAGAAACCTGGGGTTTCTGTTTCTGATGTTTTGTTTTGTTTTGTTTTGTTTTGTTTTGTTCTGTTTTAACAAGTATTTCAGGGATGTAGATGTTCTGTTTTGTGGGGCAAACCCGACATAGCTTATCTCACTAAGGCTTACCATTGACTCAGTTTCACAGGTAAACTGATGAGCAGTTCTTTACCTAGGGAGCCCAGAGTAACCCTTGTTAGAACTCAAGATCTGACCTCACCCTGGGCTAGACCATTTCTTTAATAATGTAATTGAGGGTTCATTTGAGCAGGACCCACAGGCACACAGAGGGCCATGTCAGGGCTGGACAGACCCCAGATGCCAGGCTGCCCTCAGCCCTGCCATCACACACTCTGTGCCACACACAGGAGGACTCTCACACTGCCTCTGAGCAAGTATGGATGACACCAATCGTCCCCTCCAGTGAAAAGTATACTGATGATTGAAAATGGAATAGTCAAGGCTAGCTCCATGAAAGGCAACATGGAAATTTGTCACTTGCCAGTCACTAGACCCATCCTTAGTGGTCCCCAGCCCACATATGGAGAGCATCACAGGGTTTGGAGTGTTACAGGGCAACCCAGTGAGAACTGGGTTGTCTGTCTGTGGGTCCTCACCCACTTGCTTAAGATTTAATTGTGCTGCAGACACACACAAAAATGGGTCAATAATGAATGGGTTTATTTACAAAGGAAGGAAGAACCCAGGGAAAGAGAGAGAAACAGAGAGAGATACAAGCTAACTGAGCATCCTACCAGTTCCACTGACTCGGAACTCCAATAGCACACTGAAAGCTCATCAAGAGCCAAGAGAGCAGCCACCAGCCATGAGGCCAAGGGAGAGAGCAAGAGAGCCCAACATGGCTCCTCTATATATCCTCCAAAAAAGCCTTAAAGTGGTTGCTTAGCTCTGCCCAGCTTGCAGTTCTCCCTTTGTCATTGCTGGAAATTGTCATTTCAGTGACTGGAGTAGGAGTGGAGTTGTAGTTTCAATAACTGAAGTAGGGGGTGGAGTTCACAAAACTGGAATGGGGATCCACAAAACCTGTATCTGCAGAGTTCATTCCAGACTTTCTTTCCCCCTAACAGGAGTATGAGGGGCAGTGCTCTGAACAATTGCCCGTGCACTCTTCCAGGGCCAGGCATGCCAGGTGGGCAGCTCCTACACACACAGGGTCTGAGGCAGACTCAAGTTATGCTCTGATCAAAGAAACTGCAAGACTATCTAGTTTGGGAATAAGTCT